GTCCAGGGCCGGGCGGGGCGCCTGTGGCAATGGCCACTGTGGACAGCAACTGGCCTGGGCCTCGAGGGTGGGAGACACGCTGGGGCCCAGTACTCATCCCCCAGAAACACTGGCGCCCCCCTGGTCCCCACTGGACACTCCCTCCTGGGAGGGCTCCCCCTTTCTGTCCAGGGTGAGTGCTGGCGGCGAAGGGGCCGCGGGAAACAGGAGCTACAGAAGCCGGCAGGACTCATGTCCATGACCCATCTCATCAGAAGCAATAGATCTGAAATAATATCTCATGTAATCAATAATGGTACAGGTGGGACGTTTTAAATCGTGAAAAGCTATTTTCCTTACCGAGCCTTCGAAACCCGACGACACTGCTCCACGGGAACGCGCCACAGTCCAGGGCGCAGAGGCCAGCGCGTCCCCACGGAGCACGGCCAGCCTGGAGGCTGAGCGGAGTGGGAGGCGGCAGGGAGGACCCGGGCTGGCAGCTGAAGTGTGGTACCTATTTGCTTTGTTTAACAGGGGACAGGTTATTTTGATTTTCTGAATTATATAAATCACCCCGTTCGATTAAATGCCTTATTGATGGTCCTGTGGATATCCCATGGGCTGTGCTCACACTGGTCTGAGGAAGCACATTTCCCTTCACCTGGGAAGGACAGCACGGTTATCCCAAGGTCAGAGGGCTCCAGTTAACGTGTCCCCGTGACGCAGTGACCCCGAGATCCAAAACTGTAATTAACATGCTGCTTCTGTAAACTGTGGTTTTGCAAACCAGGTTCCTCATTCCAAACCTTGAGATGTAATCAATACCTTTGTGATCTTTGCCCATATAAGTCTGGTTTTGCCCCCATCTTATCACTCTGAGATTCGGGGAATGGCCCCTCATAGTCCCGGATTGCGATAAACGTGACTCTTTAATTTGACTTCTTGAGGCGCCCTTCTGTGATTCGCGGGGTACGTTACAACACAGCCAGGGGCAGGGCCGCTGCCTGTGCCCCCAAAAGACAGGGGAGGCGCCCTGCCTGGGCTCCTGCAGGGGGCGGGGCGGGGCAGGGTCCCCTCAACGGCGACCACAGGGCCATCACGGCGGCCGGGTCTCAGGACCCGCTTCAGCCCAGGCGTCACCTCCCTCTGGCCGATGCCCACACATGCCACGGGGTGCGCGGAGGCCGGAGGACAAAGGGTCCCAGGAAGGCCTGGCCAGCAGGCATGGCCCAGCGTCGCCTTGCTGCCCACACACCGCATCCTTCCCCTCCGGCGTTTGGCCCTGGTGTGAAATTGATACCGAATGTTTGGACTGGAACCCGGAGCCTTTGTCGGCTGGAATCGAAGAATGAATCCACGGGCAGAAAGCGGTCGAGCAAAGGTGAAGATTTATTGAAGAGCAAGTGCAGACGCCCACGTAAGGAGGGGGAAGCATCCCACGGAATGGACTTCCAAGCAGTGTGGACGAAAGGGGCCACGTGCTGACCAGACAGCGCAGGGGAGGCCCGCATGGCCGTCTTGCAAACTCAGACCTAAAGTCACCACAAAGGACGGTCTGAAATTAAACTTTAACTAAAGCAGTGATGGTGGGCAGGCACCTCCTGGGCCGGTGTCTTCCCTGACAAGGGCAGCCTTTACCCTCACTGAGCCTATCTGTCTTTCTGCATCTGTGACAACACAGCCTTGAAATGTCTGGGTAACGTGTGACTCCCCTTTTTCCGGAGCCCCTTGGGGCACAGCCTAATGTGCTGGGCGAGGACAGAGACCACCAATTCCGTCATTGTCATGTTAACTGTTCCTGCACCCGCCTAAGCATGTGTCCATCATCTTACCTTTTATCCAATCCCAGGGTCCCCCCTTTGCTTTATCCTCCTTAATCTATCGCCAATGAATTTCATGGAACCCACCTCCGTCCCTCCTTTGATCTCAATGTATAAATACAGATGTAACCCCGCCATTCTCCGGACATTATCTCAATTCCTTGAGGTTCTGCTTCCCGGCCTATGTCGACAGCTTGGGTCCAATAAACTCACAAAAATTCTTTACAGGTTTCGGTGTTTTTTTACGTTAACAGTAGGGAGGGGGGAACGGGTCCCACAGAGTCCCTTTTCTCTATGGTCTGTAAAAGCTGCAGTTCCTGTGTCCTCATATCCCCCCTGATCGGTCCACATTCCCCTTCGACATGTGGGGTTCTCCCTCCTCCTTCCCTCAGGACTCCCTTCCTTCTTCACTCAGTAAACACGGACCTCTCCTGGCCACTTCCAGTTCGCTTGTCCCATGCAAATGCCCCTGTTGCTCCCTTGTCTTGTGGAGATGTCACTGCGCCTGCTTCCTGGGTGTTACGGAAGTGTGCCTTCTCCCAGTCTGCAGCCCCGCGCTTTTCCGTGGACCCCAATTCTAAAAAACCCTAAGCCTGCCTATGTTCCTGTTGTAATGTACCCCACGAATCACAGAAGGGCGCCTCAAGAAGTCGAATTAAAGAGTCACATTTATTGCAATCCGGGACTAGGCGGGGTCATTCCCAAATCTCACAGTACCTATTTGGTCACAGTTCCAGGGTTATATAGTTAAAAAAATCACAAAGGTATTGATTACATCTCAGGGTTTGGAATGAGGAACCTTGTTGGCAAAAAAGCAGTTTACAGAAGCAGAAATTAAGCATGTTCATTAGAGTTCTGGGTCTCCGGATCACTGAGTTGACAGAAACACATCATCTGGGACCGCTGGGTTGACAGGAACACCTTCTCTGGAGCCCTGGGGTCTTGAGACCACGGAGTTGTCAGGATTTCATTATTTAGAGCCCTCGGGTCTCGAACCACTGAGTTGGCTGAGACACATTATCTGGAACCCTCGGGTCTGGGGATAATGGTTCCCAGGTACAGAGGAATGCGCTTTCTAAAACCAGTAAGATCACAATCAATGGGATGGTCCCTCAATCCAATGGGAGGATGTACACAATTCAGGAAATCAGAGTAACTCTTCTATTGTTAAGCCAAACAACAGGGTTGGAGTTAAACTGCAGTTTCCATCTGAAATGATTGCCACCGCCCATGTCCTTGTTCACGGCCCCCTCCCTCCCCCCGCCCGGCCCCCAAGAGGGCCTGCAGGGCCCCCTGAGACAGGCAACAGGGGCTGCTGGGTCCAGGCCCAACCAGGAGGCACCACCCCACCTGCAGCAGCGTGGGCTTCGGAGAAGACCTGGCCTGAGTGACGCAGACGGGAAACACGCACATAGATGACCGTAAACCTCAGGTTTCCTCCCATCCCTGCCAGCAAACCATGAAGAGTGTCCCACCCCCTGCTCCCCAGCCAGACCATTCGTTTTAAAAAGAGGAGGAAATAGAAACTTAAAGAATTCACAACTCCCCCAGGGAGGGAGGGCGGGGCCTGCGCAGTCCCAGAAGCTGCAGCCACACGGCTCAGGTCTCTGCCTCTGTAAGCATCTGCCTTCTTCACCTGGGACCCACCTGCTCCCCAAACCAGAGATGATCAGGGAGCAACACGAGGTGTCTGTGCTGGGGGCTCCCCAGAACTCAGGGCCCGTGATGTCCACCGTGGTCAACATCCAGACTGACACCGTGGTGCCCGACCACATTATCTGGTCCCTGTTCAACACCCTCTTCTTCAACACCTGCTGCCTGGGCTTCGTGGCATTCGCCTACTCGGTGAAGGTGGGTGCAGGGGGTATAGAGGGGAGGCAGGGGGCTTCCTGGAAAGCGTGTGCGCCCCCACAGGTGTGCTGCCCAGA